TAACGCATTCTTCCTGTAAACACACACGCACGCACGCACGCACGCACGCACGCACGCACGCACGCACGCACGCACGCACGCACGCACGCACGCACGCACGCACACACATAGCACGATGTCACCTGTAGGGGGCGCCGGCGCTCATACCTTACGAAGGCCGTCGTAGAGTTGGGAAGTCGTTTCTTCTTGCCTCCGGATGCGATTCGCTGCTGCAGACAGTCGAAGAATTTCTGCGGTGCGTGAAACACTAGAGGCTCAGGGTGACCTGCCGGAAAGAGAAAGAGAGAGAGAGGATGGTGATGACGAGGATGATGAGGTGACGACTCTATCTGTCTCGCACTATCTTTCTATTTTCCACCTCTCTCTCAAGCTTACTCCTCCCCCTCTCCCCCTCTCCCACTCCCTCTCCCCCCCTCCTCTCTCTCCTCTCTCCCTATCTCACACACTCACCATCAAACTGGTAGTGCATGCTCTCTCCCTCTCCTCTCCCGTCTCCCCCCTCTCTTCTCTCCTCCTCGTCTCACCTCTCTCGCCTCTTCCCTCTCCCTCTCCCTCTCCCCTCTCTATTAATCTCTCCTGCTCTCGTCTCTCTGCTCTCTCTTCTCTCTCTTTTCTCCCCTCTCCCTCTCTCTCTCCTTCTCCTTTCGTCTCTATCTCACACACTCACCATCAAACTGGTAGTGCATGCTTTCGTTGATGCGGTCAGTGATGCTTGCTAGCCATTCGTGAAACGTCAGCGTCAGCTCATTCTCATCAACGGGGGCGCCACCGATCACCGCTAGCTTCTTCGCCGGAGACGGCGACGCTGCGTGTGAGAGAACAGATGCTCACTGTGGCGGCCGGCGCTAGATGGCGCCGCTGGTCGAGACGCGGCGAATGAGCGAACGAAATTTCTCGAGGGAGATTAATGACGGATTAGATTTTGGTTCAGTGAGCACTAACGACCAACGCGGCCGGTCGCTGATGGTTATCGGCCCGACCACGCGATTGCGGCCGGTTGCTACGGTAACGGTCGGCACGCGATTTCCAGCTGGTTGCAACGATTACGAGCATCGCTATGGTTACCTGTCATGTGCGTGGCGGCGCGTTTCATGGGGGTGGGTGACAATGCACCGACACCGCCCCCGCCTCCGCCAGCGTCATGTAGCGTGAGGAGAGCGGTGCTGGCTTGTGCAGTCTCCATGTCCGCCGGCTCCTCCACCGTCTACACAGCGAGCGAGGGAGCAAGGGGGAGCGAGGGAGCGAGGGAGCGAGGGAGCGAGGGAGCGGGGGAGCGAGGGAGCGAGGGAGCGAGGAGGCGGAGAGATAATACATGTTAATACCAAAATTGAAATAAAGAAAGCAGTGTGCAAGACTTCATTCTTGAAAATCCAATAAAATCGAACACACCCGAGTGTTTACTACATGTTATGTGTATTGCGCACCGCTGCATAGAATCTGAATTTATGTCTGATACACACGATTAGAAACGCCATTATAATCAATGATATTTTTTATCACAAGCAATATTCGTTCTTGCCCAAGATCCCCCCTCTCACCTAACCACTTCACCCGCCACCCTCTCACCTACCCCCTCTCACCTGCCCCTCTCTCTCCTCTCTTACCTGTATGATAATCTCTGTGTCAGGCACCGCGGTGGCGGCGGCGGCGGATTTCTCGTCGTGCTGCTGTTCATCCGTGACCTCGGTGAGGATCGTGACGAGACTCGCCGTCGAGCGATCGAGGTTGATGTAGAACGCAAACTCCTCAGCCAGCTTGTCATCGCTAGCAAACGCGCAGATGCACGCGTAGAAATGTACACACCTGTGACGAGGTAGGGAGCGGGTGACGGTGAGTGTTAGGAAGATGGAGTTATTTACATGACAGTCGGTCCAATACAATAAATGCGGCAATCCATTCAAGTTCTCCCCGTACCTTGTAAGTTCCACTAATGACACGTGCACACCTACGTGTATGCACGCACGCAGGCACGCACGCACGCACGCACGCACGCACACACACCTACGCACACACGCACGCACGCACTCACGCACGCACGCACCCACGCACGCACGCACGCACGCATGCAGTCACACACCTACGCACACAAGCACGCACGCACGCAAGCTGCTGCCGTACCTGCGATGGCTGTCCAGCTCCTTCTGTGAGCAGTGCATGCGATCTCTATACGACTTGAACTCTCGGCAGCTGCAGATAAACTTGCAGTCGCTCGTGTCTTTCTTCTTAGACGGATCGGTGAAGAAGAAGTGAAGGAAGCCGAGAGCGTGCTTCGAACTCACCTTGCACCTGTCGAAGTGTTAATCATCATCACCATCATCACCATCATCACCACCATCATCACCATCATCACCATCATCACCATCATCACCATCA